ATAAATCAACTCTAATTAACTTTAAAAATCTGTGTTCTGTAGGTATTAATTTTTCTAAATTTTTAATTTTTATTAAGAAATCTAACATATGCAATGCACTTAATATATATAAGTGTTGATATTAATAAAGTATAGAGTATAATTTAAAAAAAAAAAAAAACATTAAATGAGATTCTACAGACAAATTAATAATAATAATATTTTAAAATTGATTTATTTCATCTACGGGACAAATAAATAAATAGAGTATGTGTCATTATAATGTAACTTACCTTTCTTGGATAAATATTAAAAATTTTTGCCGCATTTGYACTGGTAATTGCTACAAAACGACATGGGTCAAAAAGTTCGGACACCACACCTTTTTCCCAAATTACAGACATACGATCCTCAACACCATTAACGCCATTAGGTATTTTAGTAAAATCACCTTTACCCAAGGATTTCTGATCTTTGTTAAATGTTGCATTATCACTTCCAGTTGTTTGTAATTTATCACTAGGTAATTAAAATATTTTAACATTTAACATAAAGTATAGTAAAAAAACATAAAAAAAAATATGTACATTAGAACATTTAAATTTTTTCAATATCAATTACCTGGCTAGCATGTTTAATAAAAAATTTGGAGTGTCAGGGTCAGCTCTTAATGGTGGACTTAAGACATGAGCAGCAGCATCATGCCAACATGTTAATTTATTTTCATCCCAATGTGTTCCAACTGCAGCAGCTAAAGTCTCACCATAAATTTTAGTATTACCATTTTGTTTGATTTGTTCAGCACGATGTTTTGCTAAGACTTCAGCAGCTGCCTTACTCATAACATGYACGACATACAACGGYGATCCTACCTAAATGTATATATATTATTAAATAACAATAAAGCATAAATTAACCAGAATATAATGATGTGTCTACTAAAACATTTTTTGTTCTCAAATTGATTTATAGTAATAGAAAACTATATATTATATATGTTTCACTAGTGATATTTTTCTGTTACCTACACTGAATACCTACCTATAATTTGATTAAACTAAAATTAAATTAAAATTCATGATTTTTTTAACATATATATCAATCAAACCAATTTTACTTTAGAATTTAGATTGTTAGATAACAAGATAATAGATTATTTAGCATAAACATCAATCATAAAAAGTAAATTTTAGTATAGAAGGTACAAGTGTAAAGCAAATCTTTTTTTTGGAGGGGGGCAGTGGTATTTTCTCCAACT